AATTGCAGGAAGAGAGAGAGAGAGAGAGAGAGCGAGAGCGAGAGGGAGAGAGAGAGATACAGAATTACCTTTCAGACCTTAGCTGAAAGCAGAAGTCAGGTAGAATAGGCAGTAGTTTCAGTAGAACTAAGTTAGAAGCTTATGAAACAACCAAGGGCTAGGTGTATAGCTTTAGTAAACAATTACAGTGTTTCTCATCAAAGGCCACATACTTAAACAGTCACATGATGAAACACATTTTTTCATTTTTTTTATGGGGAAATTGAACACCCTAATCGTTTTAAGTTCCTGTCTCAACATGAGTCAACTTTATAGGGCAAATCTGGAGCAAGTCACAGGGAAAAATAAGTCACGTTGTTACAAATACTTTATTTGCCAACAAGTTTTCTATGTTGTCGGGGAAAAACTGATTCCTGAAAAAGTTACAAGACTTCATGATTCAGAAAACGTGAAGACTAGAGCCTTTAGCTCCGTTACTCCATTTGTTAATAATTAAAACTGTGACAGTGACATGAATTTGAGACGTCAGTTCTCTATGCTCCCCTTTTCCCCCAAATTTTACTTTAAATATTATTGACGGGCATGAGACCTTTCATTATATGGCAATGACAGCAGATATTTATGCTGCAGCTTCAAGCTTGCACTTTGGAACCGAATGTACAGTATAACTCTCACACTGAGATCCTGGCAATGTCAAACCCAACTGCATCATGTTTAGAGATGCTCAGCTGAAGATGAAAGCCTGTACCCCTTTCCACACACCATCATCTTCCCTTCTGCAAAATCTGTACAAATATCTTTAGCTTTACATTCATGGATGTGCCAGAAGTTTCTGATAATGCTGGGTAAATCTTGCATAACAGTCTATACCTGTTTGCCAAAATGCTATATATCAAATCGATTTAAGTTGTATGCGGTTGGATGGTTTTGCCTGTTATACTGGAAGTGATCCGTTAAAACATTGGTTCGGCCATACTGATAGTCTCCATGTTGCGAAAATGCCACGAGTCCATTCTGAGACTTTTCTGGAGTGTTCCGGTGATGGTCCAAATTTACAAGGTCTGCAGTTGTAATTGGAAGCAATTGCTTCTTTGCTTCCTGGTTTGCATCATATTTTGTCTGTGGAAATAACAGATTAACACAATCTCTCAGAGGCTGCCCAACAAGCAAATATGCTTAGGAAGAACAAAAGCTGTTCCAGAAGAAACCAGTAAGACTAAAGTCTGTGCTCACCAAAATATGACGTCCCCAGTCACTCCTGTTGTGACTCCCTACCCATTGTTATTCTTAGTTAATACGGCTTTTGAGCAAAACTGATGCTGAAGCCACTAGATTCTTAATCCTAATTTTTCATCAGGTTAAAATTGGAGATAGGAGTTTCACAAAGGCCAAAAACCACAACTAATCTAATGGCTGAAACCCTAAATTAACCTCTGTTAAGGCAAACGACATTTCTTCTGGTTACTGTACACCAGAACTCATACACAAACAAGTTAGCAACCTGTGCATTAATCTTCTCAGGGGGTTGGACTAGATGGCTTCCTGAGGTCCCTTCCAACCCTAATTTTCTATGATTCTATATTTATGTGCCTACAGAAACTCAAGAGAAGATCACCATCTTAAATGTTTGTAAGAACAAGTTAAAAAGCTGGCTGCTTCCAGGGGGCAGAGCCTGGCACTGGCACCACAAGTGGCTGCTGTAAAAATGAGTCTTCTGATCCACCAAAGCAGCACACTTAATTAGTGGCACAGCAAGTTCCCCCTTACTCCCATCCTGCGTAAGAGGGAATCTCCCTAAACAAGGCTCATTCATACTTTGGTCTCTGCTGAACCTACAAAACGTGGGCAACTTCTGATGATATGCGATGCAATTTTGATCTTTGTTCCGCTAATGGACAACTAAGTTAACAAAGGAACATTTTATGTTTACCAGAGCACAGCAGCTTTCAGATACTACTGACCAAAACAGGGGTCACAATGTAAACTTACCTTGTTATACAAGAATACTCCTAGAATAGCAGTCATCATTCCAAGAACATTGGTGCTGGTAACTGGGTTTCGAAGCATTATAAGAGAAACTGTTATGACCATGATTCTTTTTGTGGCATTTGCAACAGAGTAACTTAAAGGGCTGATCAAATTAAGAATGCTGAAGGCAATGACATTCTGGGCAAAGTTACAGAATCCACTGATTATGAGCAGCATTAAGGTCCAGGACCAATGAGACACAGTACTCTACAGGGAAAACAAAACGTAAGAGTCAGTTAATACATTCCGTTTCAGGGAAAAGATGAAGAAAACTTCCTGTACAAAAGTAGATGCAGCTCCCAGTAACTGCTGTAATTACCGGTCATCAGCTTTTTGATAGGGAAGACATCCTCACCCCCTCAGTAAAAAGGCTCAACACTACATGCCCTCCCCCCCCTTCCCCTGCCGTTCTGAAATTCACTGGCTGTCCATCTGG